AAGGGAGAGAGAGAGAGAGAGAGAGAGAGAGAGAGAGAGAGAGAGAGAGAGGTGGCAAACACAAGACCAAAAGCACCTTCTCATTCTGTATGCATTTCCAGTCAAGCATTGAACTAATTCCCGTAAACTAATGCCATGCTGCCCTCCCCACCTGGCTTTACAGGGCTCTGAGAATTTGAACTCAGTTCTCATGTTTTTGTGCCCAGTACTTCACTGATTGCACCATCTCCTTATCCCCATCATTTAAGAATTCTTAAACAGTATGGCAGGAATCTGCATGCAACTAAACTGCTAGTATCATTAAATAAATAACAAGAGTAATTTTGTTGTTTTATTAATTTTTCCTCACAAAATCTTTATAAAAATTCCATATCCATAATATGTCATTCAATAAATAAAACACTTAAAAAAGAAGTAGAAACTCTGTGTTCCCAGTTCTTAAAGCAACTCGAAAGATTTCAAATTCTAAGCCACAAATGCCAACATCGTAAGTCTTCCGTGAAAATTTCAGGAATGTAGGCAATCTGCTTTTCAGGGTCAAGAACAGAGCCCTGTCTCTTGGCATCTGAATGTGCACCTAAATGTGCTTCAGATGCAGATATTACATAAATATGTTTACAGTAAATGGCCTTCTGATTTGGAAATAAATAGCACTTTTAAGAATACCAAATCAGTGTAAGAGTTAAAAGTATTATATATTTAATCCATTCTTTCTTGAGTTTAGGCAACACTTTTCTTTTTCCCTCATTTTTTTCATTTGTCCGTGTGTTTGCCGATTTATTCTGAGGTGGTATCTCATGCAGTCCTGGCTTGTCTCAAGTTCCATAGGTAGCTGACAATGACCTTGAACTTCTGCTCTTCCTGCTTCCACCTCCCACGTGCTGTCATCTCAGCCATGGATCATCGGTCCCATTTAGGAGAGAAATGTGCGCACTGTGCCTTTGATGGTACCTCTGCAGATGGGGCACTTTCTCAGAGAGGGCGCACAGTCTTTGCACACAACCAGATGGCCACAGGGAATGAACACGATGGACACCTCTCTGTCCATACACACTTTGCAAGTTCTTTCTTCCTGTAGCTTCCGCAATTGTTCTTCCATTGGTAGAGCTATGAAGAGGGAGAAATTGTTATTTTAAACCCAGGTGTCTTGTGAAACCCAAGTGACCTCAGACTTTGGTTCTCCCACCTGCAATTTCCAAGTGCTGGCTGGTCACAGGCATGATGCCATGTGAATCAAGAAAAAGAATTTTTAGTAGAAAGCAATTTGCTTTTCCTCTAGTGAAACCCCAAGGAAATAAAACAATGATTTCCTCAGGTTTAAAATCTTAGGACTCTTACCTGCAATGTCATCTGTGGGAAGACGCCTGACGTCCTGTCGCACTGGGGACAGAAAGGGGACAGCATTATTATGGCAACCAAGGCTGGTATTTAGCTATACACTAGGCTTTGTTTGTTTATTTTTGTAATGAAGGTCTTCAAACCCAGGGCCTGATGTTTGCATGCTAGGCCAACAGGCTTTCATTGAGCCAAATCCACAGCCCAGAAGACATTCTACAACAGTTTAGTTACCTAGTACTAATGTTTGAGACACAGAATTATTGTATAACCCAAGCTGGAATTGAACTCATAATCTTCCTGCTTCAGCCTCTTGAGTGCTGGGATTACAGGTATGTATTACTATGTCCAACAGTGAATTTATTTAGTTATTTATGAGAGAGAGTGTGTGTGTGTGAGAGAGAGAGAGACAGAGACAGAGACAGAGACAGAGACAGAGAGAGACAGAGAGAGAATATGTTCACCCAGGATACCACAGTGTGCATGATGAGGCCAGAGGACCACTTTTGGGATTTTCTCCTACTACTGTGGGTTCTGACTCAGGTCATTAGATTTATGCTGGGATTATGGGGTGTGGCGATTTGAAAGAAAATGGCCCCCAAAGGGAGTGGCACTTTTAGGATGTGTGGCCTTGTTGGAGTAGGTATGATCTTTTTGGAGGAAGTGTGTCACTGTGGAGAAGGGGTCTGAGGCCTCACACATGCCCAAGCCACTCCCAGTGAGACAGACCACTTCCTGTTGCCTGTTTAAGATGTAGGACTCTCAGCTTCAGCACTGTGTCTGCCTGTGTGCTGTCCCGTCACACCATGGTGATAATGGACTGAACCTCTGAACTGTGAGCTATCCCATTAAATGTTTTCTCTGTAAGAGCAACAGAAACCTTAACTAAAACAGAGAGAGAGCAAGTACTTTTACCTGCTGAGCCATCTCACCAGCTCCTCCCAGATTTTAAAATTTTACACTTTGAACAAAGTATCATAATATTAACACAAAACCCTTAATTTTTGAGTAATTAAAATGTATGTTGGGCTGAGTTACTTTCAATAATCTCCAATTTTTCAACTGACCTAGAAAATTCCCCCAAATAATTTTCTAGCACTTACCAAATAAATCTTTGTATAGCACAGGGTCACTTTCCTGAAGGGAGTTTCTGAATGATGTTGCTGCAGTGTTTCCTTTCGCCAACACAGTATCAATCAGGGTTCTTGCTTGCAAGGTCTGTGGTTTCTGTTTAACAGCATCGTACTCCTGTTCAGAGATTGCCCTGGCACTTAGGAGACAATCCAGGATTGGCATCACACATGTCAAATGTTGAGAAAGCCCTATCTTGTTCTTCCGGATTAATGTCAGATCATCTTTATGGAGAGAGAGAGAGAGAGAGAGAGAGAGAGAGAGATTTAAACTCTGCTCACAACTTCTTTCTGTACTTACATAACACATGAAGGAAATCATATGTATTTATTTACTTAAAGATCTCCTTTACCACAGGTTTGCCTCCAATTGACCATGGCATTAAACTCGTGATTTTTCTGCCACCACCTCTTCAGTGCCAGCTTTCCAAGCCCAGTTTATGAAGCGCTAGGGATCAAACCCAGGGCTTGATGCACGCCAGGCAGGCCCTCTGCCAATAAAGCAATGTCGTAGCCTGATATTTATATCTTCGTCGTTAATGTTCTATTTTCTACTATAAAGCTGTATCTATAAAATGATGAATACTAATATTAGGGTTCTAAAAAATTACTTTAGGAGAGGCAGTTAGATTTTTAGATGCATTGAGTTTGTCACTAGGACACATGTGGAACCATATTAAGAAGGGCAAAAGCTAGGGGCTGGAGAGATGGCTCAGTGGTTAAGAGCACTGGCTGCCCTGGCAGAGGGCCTGACACTCACATGCTGACCCACAATCTCCTATATCTGCAGTTCTAGGAGATCTGATACTCTCTTCTAGCCTCCAAGGGCTCCCACACACACAAATACACATAAAACTCACACAAATACACATAAATTTAAAATTAATTAAAATTTAATTAATTAAACATTGTCTAAGATATAATGTTACCCTAGTATTCAAATGAATAATTCTCCTGGATTCCATCTCAATTTATCATAAAGGGGAATGAATGGGCTGTGGGTCAACAAGATGGCTCAGTGCAGAAAACCCTCATTGCAAAATCTTAATGACATTTGTCCTTGATACTCAGAACCCAGAGGAAGTGGAGAGTTCTGACTCCATTAAGATATCCTCTGATCTCTGT